TTTTTTGAGACAGGATCTCTCTAAGCTGAGGCTGCCTTGAACTTGTGATCCTCCTGCCTCAGCCTCCTGAGTTGTTGGGGTTACAGGTGTACACCACCACAACTGGCTATATTTATTTATTTATTTTGTTTTGAAATGGGGGTCTCACTATGTTGCTCAGACTGGCCTTAAACTTGAGATCCTCCTGCTCAGCTTCCCAAGTAGGTAGGATCACAGGCAAGCACCACTGGAGATTAACTTTATTTAAGAGTCTCTCCAGGGTCTGAGCAAAAGGATAGCTGTTCCCTATTAAGAGTGAAACTAAGACAGGGAGTGGGGCCTGGGAGAATGTGTGCATGAGAATAAACGTGTGTGAGACATAAGAGTGGTCTATGTGGAATGAAGTGTTTGTGAGACCCTGTGCCCAGCTGATGTGGTGTCAGTGTGACTGAACAGTGTTGGTATGTCTTTGAGAGTTGGTGTGGGGATGTGTGAGCTGCCTAACATGTATTGTGTCCCAGAGTGAATGTGGTGTGTCCCCTAAGATTCTAGTGTCCAGGGTCAGTTCCTTGGGACCAGAGCAACTCTCTGGGGCTCCAGTTGGGTGGTAGGTACCAGCCTGGCTCAGAATCTTCAGCCTGTCCCTGGAGGCACCAGAGACAGATGGCCCTGTTTTCCAGATAGAAAGGGTATCTTATTGGGAGAGAGAGCACTTGGGAGCCCCAGGAAGTGGGCTGGTTTGGAAGGGGCAATGCTTTGGTCCAGCCTGGGTCAATGGGGGTGAGCTCTGGGGGGTAGGGACTGGAAGAGTAGATATTTAGGATGGAGACAGGATCTGGACTGTGCTGCCTGTATTGCACAGAGCACTGCTTGACCTGAGTCCCCAGCTTGGGTGACCTTGTCACAGTAGAGACTGAGGTCCAGAGCTGAACCTAGTGACCTACCTGGAACCCACTGGGCCCCCACTCTTCTACTCTTCCTCAGTAGAACCACGGAATGTTCTCTATGGTCACTAAGGGCATCCTCCTCATTCTCTGGATAAGTCATCCCAAGCCAGAGGGTGTGACTGGCCCAAGGTGACACTGGCCTAAACCCCAGACCTCCGCCACAGACTTACCCCAGAGAGTCCTGGGCGAAACCTGTACTTGACCTCACTCCAGCTTCCTGGCTCTTCAACCTCTGGCCTCTATATTTACCACCACTTTTCCTTCAGGAGTCACCTCCCTCGAATCTCTCCTCCCTCTCCGCCCCACTTTTCCTCCTGTCCCTGGCGCGGGATCCCTAGCTTGCTGCCTGTCTGCATCCTCCGGCCCCGCCCCGCCTCTCCATCCAGCTCCACACTTGTCTCCTCCATCACTTCCTCTTCCCCTCCTCCTCGCCTTTGTCCCTCCCTCCCTGGCTCCCTTCCCCCGCCGCTGGTGGCCGGCCC